AAGTTGGAAGGGACCTTATAGGTCATCTAGTCCAATCCCCCGCTCAAGCAGGAGATCCTACACCATTTCTGACAAATGGCAGTCCAATCTCTTCTTGAAAGTCTCTGGTGATGAAGCTCCCACAACCTCCGAAGGCAACTTCTGTTCCATGGAATGATCACTCTCAGAAAATTCCTCCTCATTTCTAGGTTGAATCTCTCCTTGTTCCGTTTCCATCCATTATTCCTTTTCTGGCCTTCAGGTGTTTGGAAATGATTTGACACCCCCCCCCCCCTCCTCTCTGTGGCAGCCCCTCAAATATTGGAAGACTGCTCTCATGTCTCCCCTGATCCTTTTCTTCATTAGACTAGCCATGTCCAATTCCTGTAATCGTTCTTCATTGTGATAAATTGGCAATAGCTTCTTTTCTCTCTTTTTTTAAAGTATGCACTCACATTGATAAGGTCTATCACTTAATGAGAAAGCAAATGATTTTGTGAAATAAAACAAGATATTTTTCACCTCAAATAGCAGAAATGTTTGAAATGGCTGCAAGCAACTCCTTTGGGATTGAACATTTGGAGTTTACCTTGGAAGAATCAAATGTACGCATGACTGAACAGGTAGTCCTCAACTTACAACCATGCATTTAGTGACCATTTGAAGTGATTCAAATTGCACTGAAACAAGTAAATTGCCATTGGTCCTCATACTTACAGCTGTGAGCATCCCCATAGTCACACGATAAATTGTGTGCTTGGAAACTGGCATGTATGGGTGACAGTTGTATGTTCTGGGATCATGTTGTTGTTAGCTTCGAAGTCGTGTCCGACCCATCACGTCCCCATGGACAACGTTCCTCCAGGCTTCCTGTCCCCTATGATTATATGATTATATCCATTTACCATCTTCCCAGTCGGCTTCTGACAGTGTCACAATAGGAGAGGTCCGATTCATGACTGTGATTCACTTAACAACTGCTGCGATTTGCTTAGCAATTGTGCAAAAAAGTGTTATAAAATTAGGTGCGATTCACTTAACCTCCCCCTTGCTTAGCAACAGAAGTTCTGGTCCCAATTGTGGTCATAAGTCAAAGGCTTATATATGCGAACATAACTTTCCCAGCTAAACCTCTGTGTGTCTGCATTCAATGATCCCCTTTCAAACTTGAATGGACCAGTGTTTCCACTGAAACGTTCCTATGCGTGTGCCAAACATGTAGTATGAGCGAAGGGTGAGCTGACCTGAGGTCAGCCTACAACAGATGCTTTCCAGGGCCGTTTGGCATCTGAATTTAGACGCCTCCTCCCTCCGAACAGTCACTGAGCTGCCATTTCCAGCTGCAGCTTCCCCTGCCAAGCCTCTATAACTGAGCACACAATACCAGAATTCAAAAACGTCTCAGCCCAAAATACAGATAATATCGAGGGCAGGATTGGCATATTTTTTCCTACAGGGTCTGCATTATGAACATCACGATCCGGAATTGAATTGGTTTTTTTTTTAATGAGTTCGCTTTTTCCTGTTCCTGCTGGCTTCCTTTTCCTCCTCCTCTCTGCAGGCTAAAATCTATGTTTTCCCTCTCCTTTTTCATTTCCTTCTTTTCATTTGCTTTTTCCCTTTGACTGGATCTTCTCTGCCTTCTCAGGTTGTTACATCACATGGCTTATTCAATAAACAGCCTTCCAGGAACCAGTGCTTAGCTTCTTCTCCCTGTGCATCATTATGTGCAATACAATTGTGTTTCCCATTTCACAGTATGTATGTTTTAGAGGGACGCCGTGGCTCAGATGGTGAACCTGTCAATCAGAAGGGTCAGCAGTTTGGCGGTCCGAATCCTTAGCGCTGCGTAACGGAGTGAGCTCCCATTACTTGCCCCAGCTTCTGCCAACTTAGCAGTTCAAAAGTGTGTAAAAATGCAAGTAGAAAAATAAGGACCACCTTTGGTGGGAAGGTAACAGCGCTCCGTGCACCGTCAGCATTTAACCATACTGACCACATGACCATGGAGACGTCTTCGGACAGCGCTGACTCTTCGGCTTTGAAACAGATGAGCACTGCCCCAAGAATCGGGGACATATGTGTGAGGTGAACTTTTACATTTATGGGTGCGTGTGCGCGCGCACACACAGACACACGATTTATAACCATTGGTTTAGCAACTGCTCAGTTACACCACTGAAAAAAGTAACTTACAACTGTGTCTTTGCCCTTACCACCATTGTAGCATCCCCACAATCACGTGATCAAAATTCAAGTATTTGCAAATTTGGCATGTATTTATGAAGGTTGAGGCGCACTGGAGTCATGTGACTGCCATTTCTAACCTTCCCGGCCAACTTCCAACAGTCAATGGGGAAAGCTGGATTTGTGACATGATCCATTTAACAACTGCAGTGATTCATTTAATAACTAACCACGGGAATAAAGGTCATAAAATCAGGCACAACTCACTTAACCAACACCTTGCTTAGCAATGGAAATCCTGTCCCAACTGTGGTCATAAGTCAAGGACCATCTATATTCAAGTGAAAAAAGCTTCTTTCACTTCATCCAGTCCACCCTCTAGTGATCATCAGCTGTCATTGCTTAACACAAGAGTGTTAAGAAGATACATAAAAATGACAACTAAAGTCCAGGGCCCCAATGGAAAAAAGAAATTAAGACTATCTTCTATTGTGTTTCTCCAAAAATAAGACAGAGTCTTATTTTCTTTTGACACCCCCCCAAAAGTAGGCACCTGGCCTTATTTTCGGGGAGGTCTTAATATTTGAGGTGCAGGTGGCGAGCGTGGTCACCTCATGGCTGCTGCTGTGTTGCAATATTTGGGGGGGGGGGTAGGGCCCATGCGCTCAAAAGCCCGATTGGGCTTATTATCCAGGGAGGTCTTATTTTGGGGGAAACAGGGTAAGTACTTTCAAGAAACATTGGATCAGCATGTTGATAATTTAGGGAATTAAAACCAAAAAGAACTAGAATATGATATTGAAAAGGTCTCACTAAAGTAACACTATCTTCAAAGTTTCACAAAATAAATTTTGATTTTTGTCAGTTTTCTCACCAATAAAGATGAATATTTGTAGCTCAAGCTTGAAATGTTATTTTTCAGTACCAGAGCAGTTTCTTGCACCCTAGGACTAGATACTTTTTAGAATATTTGATTGCCAAGCCTAGCTTTAAAGAGGTTTGACATTCAAAATTTTGTGGAATACTTTATACCCCATGGCAGCAACAAACACAAATAATTTGATCCCAATCAACCTGGGGTCTCCAGGCCCACCCACAAAATCTTGATTGGGAAGGGAGATAATTTATTTAGCATTCAAAATCAGTGATACTGGCTTCTTTCTCTGAACAAGCCATCCATGAGAACAAACTAGGGCTTTTATGTTTATGATTTGAGACATATGTCAAAGTTGTTTAGCCACTTTTAACCTACAAAGGACACACGGAAATGATCCAGAAGCATACAGATAATAAAGTCCAATAACTCAAGGATTTTAGATTGATGTAAACAAACAGCCATTTTGGAGCTAAACCGGGAAACTGAAAAGATGTGAAGAGGGGACTGGCAGATGGTTATAGAGATAAGGAAAACAAATGAGATAAGAAAGCCATTGCTGGAACCATTTTCCTTTTCCTTTAAGAGTCATTTCATTCATCCACTGCCTTTTTATATTTATGCATAAATCAGGTTTAATGAGAGAAAGAGGGTCAAGAAGCCAGCAGATTCAGAACTTCGTCCAGTAACTCTTTCTCACCTATGAAATGAAGTTAGTTTGTAAATGCCGTTATTGGTGTTAGAAGTTCCCCACAAGCAATTGTGTCCCTGTTCTCTACATTGGGCTAGAATAGGTGTGTGTGTGTCAATTTTATAACAAGGAAAAGGTGTGCTTGGGAAGTGCCAAAAACTTTTTGAAATGCATGGTCCCACAGAAGCTTCCAATATGCAGAGTATACAAAGAGTATTAGATGAGGGGCACCATCTTCTAAAAGCTCTAGGAAAAGAAATATCTCATGATGTATTCTTCTGACATTCTTTGAAGTCCCCTTCATGCAAATTATTTTACTTCAAATTAACAAGATTGGACCCCTCAATATCTCTACATATTATTTTCTTAAAAAATCAGAAGGGAAGGGGGGAAATTAAAACAGGAAGCTGAGATCCTTTAAATTTAGAAATTTATTTTGTTTAATACACAAGCTTTGTAATAGCTTTAGTTTAAAAAAACAGAAACAAAATAAAACCCCCAATGTGAACATGACAATATCCAAAGTTCAGGTCCTTCAGGTTTTCAGAAACCACAACTCTGAAACTTACATACTATTCCAAAGGACTTCAACAAGACAAAAGAAAACTATGAATGGGGCAACAACATTCCACAAAACAAAAATTTATGCCAAATTTGGCTGAGACTTTTGATCACAGGAACTGGTTTTTTTTAAAGGTAAAGGGGATAAAAGAAAAAAAGGTACAAATTAAAAATCCAGTGTTCCAAATAAGTCTTATCATATAATGAATCCACTGCCTTCTGCCAAGCAAGTTTATAAAGTAGATATGTTGTGCCAATTTTAAACATAAATTATTAGGAAACACTGAGAAACCTGGGTGTTTGGCAAGTGTTCCCACATAATTCTTTGCCAAGAGTGGTTGTCTCATGCCTACAAAACACAAAAGATCTGGAGCAAGAATTTACAATAGAAATGTTGTAAGCATTTGTACTATGACCTTTTAGAGCAGGCATGGGCTACCATGGCCCTTTACGCCCTGTGGACTTTAGCTGGCTCAGGAATTCTGGGAGTTGAAGTCCATAGGTCGTGAAGGGGCCATAGTTGCCCACCCATTTTAGAGAAACTGTGAAGTTTCGCCAGGCCCTTTTTAAAACCATTGAACAGGGATAGGGAGGGGAAGAGATCCTTGCTGCTTAAGAAAATTCTAACAAAATCATGTCAACTGTCAAAGGCGGTCACTAATACAAATGTTTTTTTTTGTAATGAAGATCCATGCCCTTTTTTTTTTAAATAAACATGGTGAACTTTAACCTAGCAATTATTACAACCAATGTTAAAGTCTAAAGCTCAAACACATTTTAGCAATTTGAAATTGAAATCTTGAGTATAAACCAAATAAAATTTACATGAAATCAAATGCTGCTTCATCCTAAGATGGTGGAGATACCTGCGCCTTCCTCATCGACCTCAGAGCTTTCTCGCGCAGGTGTTTTTCCAAGTCATCCAGGTTATCTTCTGCTTCACTCTCAGTCTCCTTAACGCAATGGAAAGTCAGCAATTACTTCTATAGTTACAGAATATGAGCCTGGGTTAGATTTGGCCAGAGTGTAGAAACTTTCGTGAAACAAGCAGCCTAAAAAGCAGGGAGTCCTGCTAGTAATTTCAACATCGAATACACTAGAGAAGGACAATCTCATTTGCACATTGGTTTTAAGGTTAAGTCACCTACCAACGCCCAAATTATATAGATTCCAAAACCAAACACAAACTGTTCCTAGAAAAAGAATATTCTTAGACTCTGCAAGAGTACTATCGCAATAGATTTCAATATAATCCCTGAATTCTTAAAATATTTAGCCATATCAATATTCAATCTTAAAAGATGAAGAAAAGCACTCAAGCTTATTTAAACAGAGGCTAAATATTCACCTTTTTGGGTTCTACATTTTTTTCTTGATCTTCCTCTGCAGGTGTTGTAAAAGCAGCCATAGCAGCAGCTACAGCAGCCTTTTCTTTCTTATGCTTTTTGTGTTTCTTGTGCTTCTTATCCTTTTTATGCTTCTTATCCTTCTTTTTCTTCTTCTTTTTACCACCTCCTTCCTGATCAGAATTCTGGAAGATCAAGCCATCATTTAAAACAATACATTATAAAAATTTCATCTCCACCCCATACATGGCAAGTAACAATTCCAAGCTGAGTCTTGACAGACATCTCTTTTGTTTACTTTCACTTTGAAAATAAGTCTGTCCATCAAATGCACATAAAGGGTCCAGTTATAGATCTTTCCTCATCAACGTCCACAGAATTTGGTCTGTCACACCAGTGGATATATCTGGGCACTTAACTGCTAGTTATACAGCAGTTGGAACAAGTTCACATGTTCATGAACTGAACTCAGCCAACCTTGCATTACAGCTTAAAAGTAATGTATAATCTCAGTCATTGTTCCAACCAGTTAAAAAGAGTTGATCAAACAAACTCTCATAAATTTACAGCCAAAGATACTTACTCGTACAGGTGATGGGCTTGGAGTTGGACTTTTAGCCTTCTTTGCAGGTGCTACTGGTGACCAGTGAGCAGAAGGAGATGCTGATCGAGCAGGAGAGGGAGGTGCTGGATGCTTCTTGGGGGGTGGTTCAGGGGACACTGAAGCTGACCTAGATGAAGAACCCCTTCTTGCAGACTGGGGACTTGGTGGAGAAGCCCTTAGAAAGAAGAAGCAGAACACGTTACACTTTCTAGAAAAGAAAGCAAAATCAATGTTGAAAATTCAAATCAGCTGTGAATTTTATAGTGCCTATTGATTCCAAAGCGGGAAAAAAAACCTTGTTTTTAATTCCTAATACCTATGATACTAGAATACTACACACCTTGACTGGGGAAACAGTTTTCCTACAATTCCAGAGCAATTATAGTAAGAGCACTTAAGACTTATATACCGCTTCATAGTGCTTTATAGCCCCCTCTTGTGGTTTACAGAATCCGCCTATTGCCCTAACAATTTGCCTCATTTTACCAACCTCAGAAAAATGGAAGGCTGAGCCAACCTTGAACCAGTCAGGATCAAACTCCTGGCAGTGGGAACTACCTGCAATACTGCATCCTAACCACTGAGCCACCACAGCTCTTACAGTTGTAGCCCAACAATCTAGATCCATGTTTTTGAAAGTTAACAACTTTAAGATGTATGGACTTCAGCTCACAAAAGTTCCCCAGCCACGCCTTAAAGTTGAAGTTTGAAAAACACAGATCTAAAACAGTTCCATGTGTTTTGCTTACTTCTTTGACTTCTTGGGCTCTGGAGTCCTTGAGACTCTTCTGATGGGCCTAGAGGTTGGAGATGGTGACTGCCTTCGCGGAGGTGATGAAGAAGGACCCCTACGCAACAATGGGGGGCTGGCAGAGGTCCGTGAAGGTCTAGGCTGTGGTGAAGGTGAATGCCGCTTGTTCTGCAGTGGAGAGCGGGGTTCCCGGTTGGACCTGCTTGGAGGGGAGCTTTTCCTGTGTTTGGAAGATGCAGATGGCGAACGTCTTTTTGCGGGTGGAGAGCTTCTTTGTTTTGGTGGTGGAGAGCGAGAGACTCTGAGCTTAGGCTGCGGAGAAGGAGAAGCCCTTCTTTTGGGAGGAGGAGATGCCGTTCGTCTCTTTGGAGGAGGAGAAGGAGAATACCGCCTCTGGATGGGAGGAGAGTATCTTCTGGGTGTGGGAGAATGCCGGCGAGGGGGTGGTGAAGGAGACCTAAGAAGTAAGAAGGCACATAAACACATTGATCAAATCACCAAGTTACAAGGGTTGCTACCTAGGCAACTTACAAAATGAAAGGGCAAATATACAGTGAAATAGAGGAGAGGGTACATTTTCACTTAACTGCAATTGCACTTATATTATCACAACAAAAACATATTGAGAATCACCTGTTAAAACCTGTTCACTAAAATAATTGCTAAATGTTCCTACATTTTAAAAAATCTTGTATTATAAAGGTGAAGGCTTTTTCTGCTCTTAGTTGTTTCATATGCATTTTAAAATATTTCTGCTAAATCATCCTGAAGGGATTGATTATTAGCAGTATTAGAAAATGTTTTAGACTTATTGAATGAATAACGTTCCTTCCCAAAAAGAAAATGCTACAATGCATGCTATGGAGCTGGACATCCCAATTTCCAGTTTAGGGACTAGCATTTTCTAAAAACATGCAACATTACCTTCTTCGTGGGGGTGATGGTGACCTGCGACGTCTTGGAGGGGGGGCAGGAGAAGGAGACCGTCTTCTTCTGGCTGCTGGTGGGGAGGGGCTTCGCCTCCTCCTACTATAAGGAAAGAGGGCAATAAGTGTGAAAGAGCAAGGGGGTGCTTAAGAAACTGCTGTTACAGTATTATCAAGCGGTGCTTTAGGACTATAGTTCCTCCAGTCCCAAACCACCAGCCAGTGGTCAGGAGTCACAGCTGCAGTCGAAGACAACCAAGTTGTTTCCTGCTTTACGAAGTGCCTGGCTTCCATGATAGGAAAACCTTACACTTGCTGGCAAAACAAAATAGCCTTATGTATGATTTCCTGAGTAGGCGACTAGTGTATAATTGAAACATGGAGACATATATTTGGCAATTAAGGTGGTATTCAGAATGTCTTCTATTGCATAAGGCCTTTCTTTCAAAATAGACAGGAGCACTGAATTGGGGGGTGGGTGGGTGCTAAAGTCACGATTGTGATTTAGACGCCCGGCCTCCAGCTTGCAATCATGGTATACCCCGGTCACATGATCATTTGCAACTTCATTGCCAGCTTCTGACAGTCAATGGGGAAGCTGGCAAGAGGATGTGCAAAAGGTGATCAAATGAACATGGGACACTGTAACTATGTAGAATTCACCTAACAATGGCAACTGCTAGCGTAGGTTGATGTGCTAACATGACACTGCACATTACAAAGGTATCACTTAGCGATGGAGTTGCCAATTTCATTGTTCAGCAAGAACTACATGTTACTGGCAACTGACCTACTCACACTGATGAGGGCCATCAGAATACTACTGGAACTTGTACAGAAGTAGCAGATCTCCACTTTAAACATTCCATTCCTGGCAGACCCCACACCTGCTATGAAAACAGCTCTACCAGAGACACTGTGCATTAAAGGAAAATGTCCGGGTAACCGATACAACTATGAAGATTTTAGCCAAATATGTCCAATAGTCTTTATCTCATTTTTATCACAATACATATCACCTCTCATTAAAATATCTTGATCTTTTGCCTTCAGAGAGAAGATGGATATGTTTTTGTTTTTAAAAATTGTTATTTTTAAACTTCTGCCCAGTGATCAAATAAATGAAAATTGCCAGTTTAAGGGATGTATTTTAATCACTTTTGCAATTTAGTAAACATTAAGTAGATCAATTAATCGGTTCTTCCATTATTCTACTTTCATTATTTTAGCTTTCACCTTTACCACCATTTATGTTATTTACTTATTTTACTGTATTTTCTAGAATGGAGAAACATGTGGTTGTGATCAGATCAGCAGCAACTGCTCTATTCTCAAAACACAAAGTTTAACTCTTAACAGAATGACCTGCTGACCAACCTTTTAACAATTGGTGACTGCCACCTCTTTCCCATCTGCATCCTGACAGCAGTGGAGGGAGGAAAAAATTCATTTGTGAATCTCAATTAGCAGGCAAAAACTGATCAAGTTACAATATAGGTTGCATTGCAGTGCAAACTGGCCTGTATTTGCATGCAACAAATCCCTTATTCATCAGGTAAACAGCTACCCGTTATGTTGCTATCAAAACTATATAATAATGGATGAAACCGAGAAGACTGGAACAGAGCCGCAAAATTGTCATGGCCAAAATGAAAGCAAAAACTGGACATGATAGCTGGGTTCACACTATATTCATGGAATGGTTCATTAGGGCAGTGTTTTTCAACCACTGTGCCGCGGCACACTAGTGTGCCGTGACATAGTGTAAGGTGTGCCGTGGGAAAAACACTTTATATATAGTCAATATAGGCACAGAGTTAAAAAAATTTAACATTTTCTAATGGTGGTGTGCCTCGTGATTTTTTTCATGAAAAAAGTGTGCCTTTGCACAAAAAAGGTTGAAAAACACTGCATTAGGGTATGAACTCAGGCATTAGGGTTTATAAACCATGATTTTATGGCTTACTATATCTCAAGCCACGCTTATTTTTTAAATAGCAGTAGACTTATATACCGCTTCATAGGGCTTTCAGCCCTCTCTAAGCGGTTTACAGAGAGTCAGCATATTGCCCCCAACAATCTGGGTCCTCATTTTACCCACCTCGGAAGGATGGAAGGCTGAGTCAACCCTGAGCCGGTGAGATTTGAACCGCTGAACTGCTGATCTAGCAGTAGCCTGCAGTGCTGCATTTAACCACTGCGCCACCTTGGCTCTAAAAACTAGCCATGAACAGAAAAGCCACATGTTAAGAGTGATGCGTGAATGTAGCCACATGCTTTCAGAATGTGTCAGGAACTGAATTATGTTCACTGCGATCTATTCAGAAAATCCAGTAGCTTTTATCAGATGGTCAAGAAACCATCAGTAACAAAAAAAATAGCCTGGACACACAACAAGAATTTACCGAGGAGAAGATTCTTTTTGCCACTTTCGTGGAGAAGGAGATGGGCTGCGAGAATGCGAATGCCGTCGTCGTCTACCCACTTCACCGTTTTTCACATTTGACTTTTTCGGTCGTTCCTCTTCAGAAGATGATGATGAACCAGAATCTGAACCACAATAAATCATTATTAAAATGTGATATAACTTTTCAGTGCAGAATATTCAGTGTATTCTGTACTACAAACTAGAAACAGAAAGGGAAGGAAGCACACTTATTCAATTATTTATTCAGTAGCCACACAGGATGCAAACCAAGCAGCTCAAATCATATGCCTAGGCAGAGGGTTAGACTAGAAGACTTCCAAGGTCCCTTCCAACTCTGTTCTGCTATAGAAATTTAGTGAAGTATTGAAAAATGCAAAAAGCTTTGATAAACCATTTTAAAAGCAAAATGGAATGCTTCTGCCCATTTAAAGCTTTACCTTGGTCTACCCTACAATTGTAAATTAGGGTTAAAGTTGAGAAACTACTAACAATATTTTCAGGATTGTTAAAGTTCTTTGTTATACAGAATTTTAGTTATAGTGGGAGGGAAGAGGAGGATCACAACTATATATTTACATAATTTTCACTTGTGAATTTTTATTAGTACAACGGGAACTTTTAGGTTTTGCTTTTTCAAAGAACCAAAACATCTGGCAATGACAAGCAAGAACACAATGTCCTTTAGGCAGAAAACAACCTAGACAGGCATCGACTAAAACTTTTACTCTCCACTACCCAAGAAAATAAGATACTATAATTTTTATGAAGTGCTTTAATATATTCGTATATATTTGGGATTCATGGGCAATGAACAAAGCTTTACTACATTTCCCTTCATTTCCCCTCCTCTATGCACCATTGTCTCTTATTTCTAAAAGCAAACTTTTGCTCATATCTAAGACTTGGTGTCCCATTGCATCAGGACACAAAAATTCCCAGTCTATGTCAAATTATAGTTTATACTTGAGAAGAAAACCCCAATAAATAATAAACAACTTATTTCAAGTATACGTACAAAAGAACATAAAATACCATACCTGATGAAGACTGCTGGTTCTGCCTTCTGTACTGTCGTCTTTGCTGCACGGAGTCTGCAGCTGCCATTTTACCACCTTTGTCTTCTTCTAAATATTAGGCAGGAAAGAATTATAGCTCATATTAATAAAGTACTTTGAGACTCAATATATACCGACCGCGATCTTCCTTTGTATACATGTAAAAAATAAGCTTTAGTTCCTTTAGGTTTTTTGGCTATGGAAATCAAATGATGACTGATTGCAACTTTTGCTGTTGTTCAGTTGTTCTTACTTTTGATTTTAATTAAATTGTACCTACAATGGGTATTAGGATCTAACTGATCGAATTTCAGTTAATTCTTTTCATTATCAGACATTGGAAAATACAGGACAATTCTGAAACCTACCTGATTCTGACAATTCAACTTTTCTTGTTTTTGGGGCAGGTGAGGGAGATTCTCTTTTTTCAATATTTTTATGTTTAGGTGCTGAGAAGAAAAAAGTAAACAAATTTAAAACTCATTTATGATTCTTATGCGTGGCCCGACAAAAACGTGCTTGTCAAAACCGCGACATCATCAACGCGCCAACAACAGCGCGTCGACAGAAGGGCGTTTTACAACAGCGCGTCGACAGAAGGTCGATTTAAGTTAAGAGTTTAACTTAAGGTTTAGGGTTAGCGTTACGTTTAGGGTTAGGTTTACAGCGCGCTTCTGTCGCCGCACTGTTGTCAGCGCGATTCAGCACTCATTTGTCGGCGCGGTTTAGAACTCGCGATTTTGTAACCGCGGTTTAGTTGGTCGTGGTTTTGTCAGTCGCCCTTTTGTCGGTGAACCATTCTTATGCAAATCATCATTAAAAATTGTCAATATTTAAGAGAAAGCCTACTTATTTCATCATATTAAGAAAAATGTGACACACAAATCAAGTAACTAAAATGCAGAAAAGGACTAATTTCCTGGTCAATTCCATACAGTAAGTTGCAGCCTGGAAAGCAGATCTTACTGGAAAGATTGCAATTTTCTTTCAAAGTTAGGTAATGTCTAATTAAGCACTTTAACACAGAAGATTTTGAGGCTAAAAACATTATCAGAATGGCTTGGAATATTTTCAAAAATACTTCCATTTACCTGAAGTCCTATTGGGAGAAACAGAACTACGGGCTTTTCTTGTACGATTAGACTGCTGTGGTGTTGGTGACCTGCGGGGTTTGGGGGGAGGACTTGGAGGTGGGGATGGTCGGTGTCTTCGTCTTGGGGGGCTTGCAGAAGGAGAAAGCCTTCTTGTTTTCCGAGGAGGGCTGGAGACCACTCTCTTAGGCGGTTTCTTTGGTGGTGATCGAGAACGTGAAGACGATGAGGATGAACTACTTCCTGATAATGATGCTGATGATCTTCTCCTCCTAAAACGTTAAATTTGATATTAAATATGCCCTAAACTTAGTCTGAAATTAATCTGCCTTGCAGTTTCACATAGATTTTACTAACTCCTAATATGATACTTCCAATAACAGAATGTTCATTTTCTACATTATGCAGAACTATTGGTTGCATCAACCTTATAGGTTAAATACCATTTAGTAATGGTGAATATTTCTGGATTGAGAATGGGATAGTCAAGAACATTTAACATATTACACAATGTTTTTATTCTTGGTCAAAATCACTCAAAATAAGGGAACTGAAAAATAGCTGACGTTTTCCTTTTCTAAACATGAAACATCCAGACCAACACATATAGAGTCAGCAACTAAACTGAATTCATCACGTTACATTTAAAGCAGGGCCTACAGAATTCTGACTACAATTGTGGTCAGTTCTGTTGCTCTCATCTAGTTGATGACTCCACCTTTGATTGTAGAATTCCCAAGAACAGAGGGAGGGGGGGAAAGAACCTCCCTTGAGCAATATTCATTAGAAATAAAGCCATATGACTAAGAATCTGTATGTCTTATAATCCTACTAAGCAAATTCAACTGCTGTTTTGTCTGTCTCATCTTTACAAATGTCAGTATCATCAACAGTAGAAAATGGGCAGATAAGAAGTCAGAGAAGGGGTTTTAAACAACATTGCAAACAATCCTCGTGTTCTTCCTTGAAAGCCCTCATGCCAAAAGCATAGTCACAAATATATTTCCAACTAAACTGATATATCATTCTAAAATGTGACCAATAAAGAAAAAACAAGGTCTTAATTTGTAAGATGACAAATTTTTCAATATAGGTGATATAAAAATTTCATAATAAATAAGAAGTAGAATAAAATTTCATAATCTTGTTTCCCTAACAGAATTGTGTTGCAAAACAGACTTATTCCTATCAGGATTTTAAGCATAATTAAACTCATGTTTTCAAGTCAACCTGAAATGTATTTTCTACTATTTTCTCCCTGAAACCCAGAGAGTTGTGGGTAGCATAAGCAGCAACAAAATGTAGCATAGCTTCCTCCTACTGTTCTGACCTAGGCTTCCTAAGAGCATGAAGCAAACTCATTGTCCTGACAAAAAACCCTTTTATTAATTTACTGTGAATTCTTCTCATTCAAATCAAGCAGTCTTTCAAGCGAGGATTTACAATCACAGACCTTATGTGGCTACAAACGCCACTCCCCTTTCGCTCCTCTTTTATTTCCTCTGGTAGGAGCCATTCATTGTCCACCTGTGGCCTTATTCCCAAGTCGACCCCTGTTCTTTAGCTGTTCCCTTTGTCTGGCAACTCTGTGCATGCACACACTGGAAACAGGCTCCAGCTGTTCATCTGCCTCACTGATGTCTACCTCTGAAGGCAGCTGATAACTGGCATAGGCCCTGGCCCCCTCTCTGCCTTCAACACAGAGCCCTCCCCAGGCTCTAGGACTGGCCCATGTTCCCCCACAAATCTGCTGCCAGCTCTGCTGGTGGGCCACAACACCTACTTGGAGTTTTCTGAAGTACAATTGCTGGAACTGGAGCTAAGACCTAATAAAGATCAGGATTGGACAGTCCCAAAAAGTTTCAGTGCTAGTGACTGTTGCCTCTAAATTCTTACCGCCTCACAGGAGATCTGCTTCTTCTATGCCTAGGTGGAGGTGGAATACGTCTTGGTGGGGTTCTTCTCCGAGGAGATGGGCGCCTCCTTGGGCTAGGCCGCCTCCTTGGTGAATAAGACCTAATCGTACAAATGATAAAAAAATCAGATACTGAACCCATTATAGAACTCAATGTTTACAAAGCTTCCAAGGGAAGGAAGAGCAATAGCACCTGCCTACATGCCAAAACTACAAACTAGTCTACATGTTTACTTGTGTAGCAGAGAAAGGGAACTGCTTTATGATAATATGCATCAAGAAAGGCAGGTATAAGGCTAGTATAAGTATGAAGATACATTACAAAAAAACCAAAGAGGATCATTTGAGAATGGATAAACGGAAGCATTAAGGCTTCATATATTTAATATTCTGATTTATCATTAACAAGGTAACACACAATGGTTAATAAGGTTAGATATAAGGTGAGCTATTTTCAGAAAGAATTTGAACTATCTAACCTAGATCGTGATCTATGACGTCTTCTTGGTCTTGAATGAGATGGGGAACGTGATCGAGACTTTGATCTTGACCTAGATCGAGATGGAGATCTTGGACGAGCCTTCTCTTTTTCTTTTTCCCTTTCTTTTTTGGAAACTCTTTCTGGAGATATTTCCTTAGTATCTGGCATAGGGTCAATTTTAGGGACTTTCAAGATATCACTGTTAAAATAAATTACGAAGTCAAGACTATATTAGCAGAAGGTTATATGTTATATAACCGGATATTTAGCAACCAGTATTTCAGAAGCCCTAAGGATAAAAAATAAGCAGTGCACATAACATTTAATTTCATTGATTTATCATAATCAACATTGCAAAACCAGGAGGAAAAGAATTAATCATCTGTGGTGTTACCTGGTAGATGTGGCCTCCTGGATCAATGTTTCTTTTACTTTCATGGAAGGTTCTGGTTCAGGTGTCTCTTCTTTTTTTACTGGTGGAGGTGTAACACTGCGACTTTTGGCTGTGTGGTGGGGTGATCGAGAATGGCTATGTTTCCTCTCTTTCCTAACAGGAGATGAACGTCTTCTAGGGGAAGGAGATCTTGATTTGCGTCTAGACAAATGTAAATTTAGCTTAGGATAGATCTAAAAAAAATCTCATTCTAACATGCATTTTGATTAAGAACCTTTATCACACGGACATCCCTAACCTTCTATTTTGACTGCTGACTGAAAAGGTAAAATTACTGCATTCAGTAATCTTCTGGAGACATTTAGTTTGTAACTGTAAGGACTGTAAATGTGCTGGCCTGATGCCATGTAGGCTGCCCTTTCCTTCCTATCTGCCTGTGTGGAGTACTGTACCTGGGGAAGCCTGAAAGTACTTGGGATGAAGGCCCTTAAAGTTCATCAAAGGGTTGGAGCTCGGCCTTATCAGAAGCCCCAGTACAGAAGTTCGTGTTCAATATGCCTAGTTAGTGTAAAGGAACTGAGTGGCTGGATGCAATATATATGGGCAAACCCTTAATTCTTTCATGTCTTCAGCTAAATACCTGCAGCAAGCAAAGCAAAGCAAAAATGCACTTCAACCACCACATTTAGACAGCAAGCGTAAGATGGCACATTCGTTAAAAAACATTTTGGTGCATAATTGCTCAACCAACATATTCAAAACATTCTCAGAGTCAATATGCAAATAAATATCACCTTCTGGGACTCCGAGAGCGGTCCCGCTTTTCTCTGTTCTCTTTATCTTCTTTGTCTCGCTTATCCTTGTCTTCATCTTGTTTCTTCATTGAAGCCAATTTTTCCTGTTCAATCTGAAACAGCAAATACCAACATTTTCTTAATTAAAAAGCACACAAAAAGCTGAATGCTACTCTATTTACATTACTGACAGTGCTAGGGGTGTGTATGTTTTCTTTGTTGAAATTAAAAGTTTTTATAGTTATAATCCCAGCAGGAACATAATAAATACATGAACATATAAAGAAGTGCCATTGATTTTCTGTCAGAAAATTGGTGGGAATAACTAAAATTGACAGGAAAAGATAAAATCTCTGGGTGGCAAACAACACAAAGAGAGTGCATACTATAGTAAATTAGAAGTAAATAACAGAGCATTTTGTTGTACTCTTAACATCTTATAAGAGCCTTCAAATCTTTAAAGACAAATAATAAAATGAAATTTGCCCTTTCTGATACATTTTATTTGGTGAATTTGTAATGTTTAATTAAAAAAAAGATTGTCCTACAAATGAGATAGTTAAGCACCTTGGCTTCAAAACCTCATGACTAAAAACTATGCAAAACCAAATTCCATTCTTCACAGCAGAAATGAACACTGTTCGGCTAGCAATCAGACCATCTTTTTGTAGATTTTATGCATACAATAAAAACTAATTGTTCATGTCTTCAAATGTTTCTAGTGCTCACATCTTTAAAAAAAACTTTCTAGCAGTCAAGTGTTTATAGCAATAGCAGTTAGACTTATATACCGCTTCATAGGGGTTTCAGCCCTCTCTAAGCGGTTTACAGAGTCAGCATATTGCCCCCACAGTCTGGATCCTCATTTCACCCACCTCGGAAGGATGGAAGGCTGAGTCAACCTTGAGCCGGTGAGATTAGAACCGCTGAACTGCAGATAACAGTCAGCTGAAGTGGCCTGCAGTACTGCACCCTAACCACTGCACCACCTCGGCTCTTTAACCAAAAAAATCTAAGATACTGCAGCTCAATAATTAGTGTCTATCCACTTTGGTCTGTTATATTTTTTCCAAAGTAATTATTACAGATTTTCAGATCATATACTAATTTTTCAAATATTTTCTCCAGAGCTATTCTATTCTATCAATCATTCTTTGACCTTAGATTAAACCCATACCCCACCCTTAACATAATCCCACCTGTCTTTGTTTTATTTCTTCTTTCTTCAGCTCCAAAAAAGCAGATGGAATACCAGCAATGTTTTCTTGAGCACTTAACAGCAGCGGCCATAGTTCTCCCATGAATTCTCGCGCGTTTTTCCCATTCAAAAATCCAGTCAAGTTGATTTGCATCATTTTGGAATCAGGATTCTGTAAAGAGATATGACAGGAAGAAATACAGGTTATTTGAAAAACCAAACCCAGTCAAGTTATTCTTTATTTTGATTTAATCTTCTACCATGGACAAGAGCATATTACACTCATTTTATTAGTTTTTTGTTTTTTTTAAAAAAAACAAAACTTTGCTTAAAAGTTGTTCAGTAACTGTCCTAACAAATAACCAACATTCTCTTGCCTTACCATTACATTCAGAGTGGCCTGTTAATCCTTTGTGGATTTCATAAGAAGATATGATCTGTACAGCCACTGAAACATAGGGCCATTAATTTGCCATAGCAGCATCATAATAGATGGTGTATGATTCTTCTAATTAACTTTCTAAACATTTTCCCCCAGCATTCTTTGGTACCAATCCTTGAAAAATTCTTTTAAGTTATCTGTACAATGGACAGAAGCTGTACACAGAACATTACAGAATCATCATCTACAATATCACTGAAATCCTGCTAAGAAAACTGAAAAAGAATTTATGCATGCATTTTCTGACTTCCATCAGTAAACTGAACTAAACCTCCACTATTTAATGGAATGAAAGCTGCCATCATTTTCTTAACGACAATTATGTGATAGTCACAAAGGATTAAGAGGTCAAGTGTGGTTCACAGTACAGGTGGGCAATTTAGTTCTAAAGTTGCTGGTCAAAGCAACAAGATCCATGTAACAAGCACAGCTCAACAGCACAAAGCAAGTACAGATTCCAGGTGTCTTCTTTTTCTTCTTGGAACTTTGGGGGGGGTTTGGAATCGCCAAGTCCCCTGTAGAGAAAGATGTTCCCTTGGCTTGCTTCCGACTCCCTACTGCAACTCAATCACCTTGAGTTTAATGTTATACCATTTATCTAAATTGCAAAAGACGAACAAGCAATAATGAGTACACAACCACAGAAAGAAAAAAAAGTTTTTTTTTAAAGTTCTAAACTTCAAATCATGCTTTCTATAAAGGGGAATTAAAACTGTGCACGTTTTTTTTATTAATGCATATTAGTAAACTACTTCCTGCCACAATTTCATACTTCATCTGGTTCCCCTAAACCAGCTCCCCCAACATAATTTCTATTAAAGTACATTAAGGGATTATAAATATGGATACTTAAAATAAAAACCTACATTCAAATTGCAGCATGTCTTTTTTAAAGGAAAACATCAATACCTTTCTCAGTTGAAATTTCAACTGTTCAGTCAAATCAAAGATGAATTCTTTGGAAGAAAGATTGAGCATAGAGAATATTAGAATAAGAACATTTTGCCAATGGTTCAGAGAAACACTCTTTACTATCTCTTGGAATGCAGCGGCAGACTGTGCAAAATAAAAGACTGTTTATCATGAACGCAAGTTCATTTACGCAGTTCATGTTGTATAGTATGTCTCGCTATCGATTAGCTGTTTTCCAGTGGTGCAGTCCAGCTCCGCTGATATCAGAGGGGTGCCATGCCACTGATTTCAGTGAAAAACAGCTTTCTAAATTAAACTGAAGTGTACTTTTATAATCAGATATTAAGCCCACCATCCCAACTGAACATAGTTCTAAACAGAGTAGGTCTCCACTGAACGCCTCTTACCAATTTAGAACTGCACTTCATTCTTTATTATTTAATGTGATTTAATTCAAAACAATTTAAAGAGCAGTGTAAAGGTTTGCCCAATTTCTTTCTGTTGGATGCTTTCTGTCTTTGGTTCGGCCACTTTACACAACTCACCTCCAAACACACACTGCATCATCAAGGGAGTTGGTCAGAGCGACATTGGACACTCACTCTGCTGTGACCTAATAAGGTGATGGTGCTATACTTCAGACGCAAGGAATAACTTCCATTTTGGTTCAGGCCTTTTAAATCATAAATCACATCATCATTAGAAAATTGCTGTCAAAGTAGCTTAACATGTAACAGCAAAATCAACACAGTAAGTCTGATTTTTCACCTGAGCAGTTTTGCATACTATGCACCTTCACTAAAACTGTCAACAAATGTTTTACAAAGTGAATTATTCACAATATGCATTGCAACAAAATCCCTCCTAATTTCAACTGTTTTTTTCACAGAAAAATTTCAGTTTACACAGAACAATTATGCAATACAATTACGTATACGGAAAAACAACCATAGCAAAATTATTACCTTCACTTCCAGCTGATTGAATATAAATTCAATTACTACATCATCTTCAAATCCAAGGATTTCTGTTACTCTCTTTGTTATCCATGGCTTGATTACTTCCAGGTTTACCTTGCTCATGTCAACCTACAGAATGAGATAAATAATGTTAAGATATATACAGATATGTCCAGTGTATATCCACAAATCAATGTGGTTTGTGAGCCTTCTTAGTAGCTTTCTTACAGATTACTGGAAGCCATTTTATTAAAATGTATCTTTTAATGTCATCTAACTATCTGTAGTGATCATTAGAATTTTCCTAAACAGAAACAATTCTTCCAAAGATAAACTACAACGTTCTGCCTAGGGAATCTACATACTGCCCATGGACATCACTGTAATGCAATTCCTTCCTTTCAAGTTTCAAAAAAAAAGTTTTACTCTTTTTGTTCTAAAATGAGATGCTATTATTCATATAGTGGGATATTAAAATTCCATGTTCTGATTTGGCCCCCAGCCATTTTTTTTTCTTTGCTCATCACCAGTTCATACAAGAAATAGGTATTTTGTTTGGGAGAGAACTTCTGCTCTATTTTAGCTTCTTGGTAGTAACATGTCTCTAAGGTACATCAATTTGATTTCTGTTACAGGGAATTTGAATTAGAGGAGATTCAAAATAGAAAAATGTTCCAAAGGAAATGCATGTATACACTGCAACCTGAACCCTAATTTGTCTTCTATATGTAGTTGTTCTGTTACATCGTGACTCTCAAAATTCCAAATAACTATTAACTTGAACAGCAGCAGCTAAAAGCTCACCTCAAAGTTAAATGTTTATTAAAAATAAAATAAATTCATTAAATATGACAAAAACATACTTTCTTTTCAAGGCATTCTGCAAATTTCAGTTGCTTTAGCAGCTTCTTCTGTTTGTTGCTGAAGCGATTATCCTGTTCTGCACTTGTACCCTGTAAGAATAAAATAACTCAATTACATATAGTCCTCAACATAGTGACTGTTCAAAGTTACAAGGGCACTGAAAAAAGTGACTTATGACCATTTTTCACATTAAGACAGTTGCAGCACCCCTATGGTCAAGTGATTAAAATTCAGGTGCTTGACAACTAACATGCATTTATGAAATTGCACTTTCCAGGAATGATATGATCACTATTTGCAACCTTCCCAGCTGGCCTATGACAAACAAACTCAATAGAGGAAGCCAGATTCATCTTAACAACCACTAATCTTTGAAAAACACTCTGCATAAACCTTTTGGCTTGTCAACTATAAGCTGTGTCTTGAAAAAATCAGATCATACAAACACCCAGAAATCAAAAGTTTGAATTAGTGTATCTTACAAATAAGTATGCATGCACACAAACACGCACACACACACACAGAATTGATTGTTCACTTGTAGTGTCATTACCTTAATTTATTTACTGTACTCATAACTAAAACAATCAAAAGATTAAAGTACAATTGTGTTTTTTTTGTCATGTCTTCAAGCCAATTTTGGCCTCTGGGTGACTGCCTAACAAGTCACTGCAGTTTTCTTGGCAAGATTTTGGAAGTGATTTGCCATTGCCTCTTTCCTAGGCTGAGAGTGAGTGAGTGGTACGAAATTTCAGAAATTTCCAGGTTCATGCCTCAGGCAGGACTAGAATTCAGTTTCCAGTCTGATGTCTTAACCACTACATCAAACTATGATGTAGCGGTTAAGACATCAGATGTTTGATTTACACCAGAATATTAAAATGTGAAGACAAAAACAATTCCACTCAAGATTTACATGTTATTAAAGTGGGAGAAACAATACTTAAAAAGAATTAGATGTTCAATGTTCTATTAAACTGAGATTTACTTTCAAAAATTTGCAAACTAAGAAAAATACATTTGTGCATATGAAAGAATGAGGAGATATGCATTGTAGAAACTAATTTATTCCTTAAATAAAGCTTAGGTTACTTAATGTAAGTAATGCATTTGTTTTTCGTAGAATGAATTTCAGAGTTCAGATTCTATTTTTAGTTGTTACTGTTCTTGCTTTGAAATTTATTTATTTAATTTAATCAAACATTTTCAGGTTTATATAGCATGTTTAATTCATTCTTTCTCCTAAAGTTATTTTGCTTGAAAATGAAAGCATCAATATGGTTTGGGCAGAGTTGTAGGGCAGGAAATGTGCAGTCCAGCATGAAGGGATTCCAGCAATGCTAAGCATGGGTCTACACTCTTGCCATTTCACAGGCCAACTGCCACTTACATAACATGAAGTATACAATTATATAACCTATTGTGGTCAAATCTGACCAGTGGATTTCTTGATATCCAACCCCAATATACACAGAAGAAAGGCTGCTAATTTTTAGTATGCATGCCACAAAGTATCAATGCCTGTAAAAGACAATTTGTAATCCCAGCATTTGGGGATTATTTTTGTCTGTGAGATTACTGTCCTAGAAAGCAAGCAGTTCACTTTAGTACTACAGTATGCCAGTTTCAGTCATAAACTAGCAATACCCCAAACTGATTATCATCTACTCAAAACCATTTTTCTCATAGTAGCTCAAGGCAATCTGTGCAGCAATAGCAGTAAGACTTATATATCGCTTAATAGTGCTTTACAGCCTGCTCTAAATGGTTTAGAGTCAGCCTCTTGCCCCCAACAATCTGGGTCCTCATTTTACCCACCTCGGAAGGATGGAAGGCTGAGGCAACCTTGAGCCAGTGAGATTCAAACTGCCAAATTGCAGGCAGCCCGCAGTCAGCAGAAGTTGCCTGCAGTACTGCATTCTAACCACTGCAGTTCATATAGGCATGCTTCCTAACTTTATGTCTACAAAACCAACTAAAGGGAAGGTAGAATTAATTTGAGTGTTATGTCTAACCTAAAGTTTACTCACAGATGTTATCAGTCCAAATTCAGTAATATTAACTGTTGCAGTACAGCTTTGTCTATTTAGTAAGTGGGTTTACATCAGCTTTCTCCAAACCAAAACATTCTAAAACATTTTTGAGGACATTTTGCCAGAGAAAAGCTGATCAAGCCCAACGTGCTTGCATTTTGTTTAGAGGATTTTCGCTGAACTAGTACCTCTCACTTCGATTTTAGGACTGTAAAATTTGGGACCCTGAACCAAGTTTATGTTTCTCTTCCCCGACAAAGTTAGCAGCGCTTACAAAAGAAAACTAGCTACATTTTAAGTTTTCGCTGTAAACAAGCTGACTTTAAGATCACTTGCTTTCGAATTGGAAAATTCGCAGACTCTGTAACACTATTTTCTCCACCAAAGAAATTAGAAACGATTCCACACAACACACACAATTCCCCCACACACACAATTATTGAGGCTTTGGAATCAATCGGAATAGTTCTATTACAAACAAATGCACACACTTGATTTATCGAACACGCCGAATCTCCCACTCAAATAATAAAATAACGGCGTTGGTTTTGTAAATGGCAACGCTGATTACGGAATTCGGGAGTATGTGTGTGCCTGGCGGGGGTAAAAAAAAAGGCACGAAAGTAAGGGAAACTCTCCCCATCTAATGTGCTGCCTGGCCGGGAGTCATGGACAATTGTAGTCCGTGTCCCGGTAGAAGAGCGCTAGGTCGAGGAAGGCTGCAGCTGGTGGGAGGAAAGAAAGCCCCGGCAGCCCCCCTCCTCCCGCTTAGGCCTCAAAATAACTCAAGGCGAAAGAGGAAAAAGACCGGGAGAACACGCACGGACCGACCCGAATGGGACGGCATGAAGCGTGCGGGAGGAGAACCGAGTCCTTTCTCCTCAGTTTCTACCGCGCGCTGAAGAGAGTCGCCGCCTCCGCCGCCATTTTCTTTACTCGGCGGCTCCTGGCAGGATAGCGGAGGAGGGAAGGAGAGCAGCGACACAGCTACGCCGGCCGCCCTGAGGCGGCTGAGGCCTCGCTTCGGATCGCTTGGAGCGCCTTCGGCTCTCCGCCTTAAGCTTCCCCGTCGCACTCGTCCCAGCCGGCCTCAATCCCTGCTCGGCACTTACGCGGAAGAAGCCTGCGTCCATCTTGACTCCTCCAGCCTGGCCTTACAGAGCGCGGCTCCGTATCCCGGCGTGCACCGCGGCAAAGAGCAGGCGCGCGCAGGCGTCCAAACTGCAGACGCTCCGGCTTTTCTCCCTCTTTTCGGCTTTAAGGGCGCCGCCCCACCCCTTTTCGCGCGGGAAAGCGCCAGGAGGGGGAGGCTGCGTGATGCGCAATAATAAATCGAGACGGGGCCCGAAGAGAAAGCGAAAGAGGCGGGGGGGGGAGGGACAAGAGAAGGAAAAATCCAACCAACGGGCTTCGTTTCCCGACCAATCCTGCGAAGGGGGAGGATGGAGTCGGGTGGCTCAGCCAATCGGGCACCAGTAGGGGAGAGGTAGCCCAAAGAGCCGTTCGCTCCTGATTGCGTCACAGCTCGCGGTTGCTGTGAGAAGGCAGGCAGAAGGTGTCTTGTTGCTATGACTACCTGTAAGGCCCGGGCGCAATTGAACATGGAGACTAAGGAATGGGCTGCAGAGTACAGGTGTTTATCGACTCACAACAACAGTTTATTTTTGTGACCGTTCAAAGTTACAACGGCACAGAAAAATTTGACTTATGTCTGTTTTTTCACAGTTCAGAATGTGCAGCTTCCCCCATGATCAGGTGATCAAAACTCAGAGGCTTGGCAACTGACAAGTATTTATGACTGTTGAAGTGCAGGATCTGGAGTGGTTAATCCTGAGGGTCAAAGATAAAAATGAAAAAGTTGGACTGCACTTTAATAACATCAAGAAAACAAAGATAATGACAATTGTAGAGAACACATAGGTTAAGAGGGCAGATCGACCATGAGACCATCAAACAGTAAAGGAATTCATCTTCCTGGGCTCTAAAATCAATCAAAGTAGTGACTTACAGCCCTGAGATCAGAAGGCATAGCACTTGGAAGAACTGCAATGTCTGGCATGAATAATATCTGGAAGAGTAAAGAAATCAGCTTCACAACCGAATGCATATTGGTTAACACAGTAAAAATTTTCCAATTGCTACCTATGGCTATGAAATTTGGACTCTGAAAAAGGCAGATAAGAGAAGGGTGGATGAGTTGATGACGTGCTGGAGGTGACCATTATGTATCCCATGGACTGCAAAAGTAACAAAGAAGTCCTTAGACCGAACCTCATCAACAACGTCCCTTGAAGCCTAGATCGCTAAAAAGAGGCTGTCATACTTTGCTCATGTCATGAGAGCTGGCTCATTGGTCAATCAAGCTCGGAGTGATCAGGAGAAAAAAAAGAGAAGGGGCCGCCCTGACACCCGCTAGCTGGACACTATAAAAGATGACACAGAGATGACCATGGCAGATCTGAAGGAGGCAATGTGAGGCAGAGGGACATAGAGAGTGCATGAGTGGCCAAGGGTCGGACACAACTGAATGGCTGATGACGACGATGATATGTTTTTATGTTGTAAGCCACCATTGGACAACAGATGGGCGGCAAATAAATTTCATGATAAATAAATAATAAAATTTACTAACCTACAAGATAATCAAGCATCAGTGTCCTTTTCCTGGGTGCTTAATATCTCACTCTTGCATCATTAGAGACCTTTTCAATAAAATGAAGGTGGAACCTATGGCTCAGGTAGATTAAAAACAAAACAGCTAAAGATCTGGTATACCACACAGTGAAAGCAAGAGGGCTCTTAATGGGTGGATGTGATAGAGATCAAAAACCACACTCAAAAAAGGGAAGCATATTGGAGGTCTTCTAGTCCAACCTCCTGCTCCAGCATCAAACCCTATACCATTCCAGATAAATTGGTTGCCCAATCTCTTAAAGATCTCCGGTGTTGGAGCACCCACAACTTCTAGAGGCAAGTCATTCCACTGATTCATTGTTAAAAGTTTCAGGAAATTTCTCCTTAGTTCTAGAGTGGTTCTGTTCTTGATTAGTTTCCATCCACTGCTTCTTGCCCTGTAAATTGAAAGCAAGGTAGAGAAACACCCTGAGGACACATCCATCAATAAATAAATAAATGATGAAGGGCCTTTGTGCAGTAGCCAGCAGGATGTGAGAATGAGTCTACAATAAAATAATAGCTGTGCAGAATTTGCAACTTAACACTAGAGGGAGCAAAATACTTAGGTATTCAGCTGAAAAACCTGTGCTAAGTGCTTTGAATGCGTCAGCCCTGTGCGCAGACTCGCACATACAAACACAAATAGAGTTACAACAGTGGACTACATGGGCAGCCCAGAGTTGAATTATGGAAATCATGGTGTTCCCTGCAAACATTTCTTGCAAACAATTCATTCCCAAACTAGATAAAATCTCAGTACTCTTACATGGTTTGTTGGCTGGCTACATTGGGATGGATGGGTGTGTGGGTGGGTGAATGGAGCTTGTTCTGCTAGCCTTGTGTAGGTTTTGGACAGAATATGTGGAATGAGGCTACTGTCTGGAGCTTATGGTGGTGATAATGGTGGCTTTTGCTCATCTGGGTGTTGGTTAAAAGATATGGGACCTTTGGTTGCTGCTTCTGGATACTTCATAAATAAAGTTAATTTCTATATGCTACTGATGACTAAAATTTGGCAATGTAACAAGCTTCTAGAAATTCCCTTGCATTCTTAGATTAAAATCTCTACAGCTTCCCAGTTGAAATGGTGATTGAACCTGACAAAGATCTGTGCAGAACACGTGCAAAATCCTCGTTACACCCCAACACAAACATGGCAAAACTGCAAAACATTTTTTGCTAGTTAATTCATTTTGGAAACCAAGATTAGGGTTAGGTTGGTTTGGCAGAAGGATTTTTCAGATTCTATTATGGAAAACAAAACAGAAAGTCTGGAGTAGTTCTCCCAATTTCTGTTTTGACAATGCAACTTTGGAGATATTTTTAAACTAAGGGAATAACCAGTTTCTTTTCAGTTATTCTCTTAGAAAGAAGGAAAGGAAACCAACCACATTATATATTAAAGGAAGAATTGGATCCCAAAAAATCAGAAGTCTTCCTATTTCCACAGCATATCCCAGTGGAAAAATCTAGGGAATATCTATCCAACAAATATTTTGCAGAATCCTTCCCCTGCCATGCCCATCAAGCCACACCCATCAAGCCACAACACACCCACCAAGCCATGCCCACAGAACCAGTAGGAAAAAAAATGAATTTCACCACTGACCTAAAGAATACTGTATTTATAATTGTTTTTATTGCACTTGAATGCCTTTGCAAACTGCTTTGGACATTTGGTTGAAGGACCGGGTTGGATTCTGGGAAATATGGTCAAAACTTTTTACCACGTCTTCAGATTTGTTTGGGTCCCACAACTCCCTCTATGTGAGCCCCTCAGCCTAGAGAAGAACAATTAATGACACAACATAAGGGACAATGCCACCACTGTGCACTTTGTGAAAAGAATTGAGTTGGATTATTGCACACCCACTCCTGTAATACCAAACATGTGTAGTCTGCCAACAGAGTTCCTATTTTCTGAGTTTGTTGTGCAAAGAAGAGCTTTTTTAATGAGCTTTTTTTCTTTTCCTAAGAGCAATGAATGTAGTTGTAGTAGTTATGAAAATCACTTTTCAGCTTTTTACCAGCTGGTTTGGACACATTACACCATCTGCAATACGGTGAGTGAACCTAAAACAGAAGTGGATATTGCCTTGAATCTTACAAATTACTTTATGCCATACCATTTTGCCTGCCCAGGAGATACAATTTTGTACTGCAATCAGAATTAGAATTGAGCTGGAAGGGACCTTGGAGGTCTTCTAGTCCAGCCCTCTGCTCAAGCAGGAGATCATATACCATTTCAGACAAGTGACTGTCCAGTCTCTTCTTAAAAACCTTCAATGATGAAGCACCTACAACTTCTGAAGGCAAGCTGTTCCACTGGTTAATTGTCCTGTTAGGAAGTTTCTCTTTAATTCCAAGTTGCTTCTTTCCTTGACTAGTGTCCATCCATTGTTTCTTGTTCTACCCTCTGATGCTTTGGAAAATATATTGACCCCCCTCTTCTTTGTGGCAGCCGCTCAAATACTTGAATATTGGTACCATGTTCTCCCTCCCAGTCCTACCCATTTCTTCTTCATCATAATATTTTTTTCATCAAAAGCTGCTTCAAAAGAGTGAGAAGAACAGAGCACATAACATTAAAAAAAATAGATATCAATTGAAGGTGTCTGAAGAATCAGGCAACTTCATCAGAGCAGTTAAAACCACCGGGGTGGAGAGATTCCTAAGGGGGAATTAAGCTGGTAATTAAATCATCTCCTTCAATTCAGACTGTCACCCTAAACCTGCTTATCAGGTAGTGAATTCCATTGAATTTGAATAGGGATGTGATACCTGCATAAATTGGGCTATGATTGAGCTATGAGGTGGGACAATGCTTTCCTGTGCATTTCTGTGGCTTTTTTTAGGTACAAGGATTTTGTGCTGCTTGAAAAACACGTGGCTTTCTTGAGTCATCTGGTATTTCAGTTCTGAAATTTTGATGAGCATCCCATCTTTTGCCATTGTATAACTGCATTTTGGGCATTCAGCAACTGGCTCATATTTACACAACCGTATAAACAGTGACTGTGTTTTACACCTTCGCCCAAACCCAGCATGGAAGTGGTTACTGGACTAACCACCTTCCTCCTGTGTTTCCTGTTCCCGCTCCACCTATCTTTTAATTCATATTATAGTATTGCAAATTTATTGATTATTGTCATTGCTTCATTGCTTTGTTCTTGTTATGTTTTCATTTAATCTTTTTTTCTTCTGTTTTACTCTTGTGAACCATCCAGAGTAACCCTAGGACAAGATGGGCAACAAATAAATTTAACAAATAATTAAATAAATTTACTTCCGGGTTTTCTGGAAAAGTGGCCTTTAATGAACAATTAGTTCACTTAATGTACACTGTAAAAAAGGTCATAAAATCAGATCAATAGCAATAGCAATAGCAGTTAGACTTATATACCGCTTCATAGGGCTTTCAGCCCTCTCTAAGCGGTTTACAGTCAGCATATCGCCCCCACAGTCTGGGTCCTCATTTCATCCACCTCGGAAGGATGGAAGGCTGAGTCAACCTTGAGCTGGTGAGATTTGAACCGCTGAACTGCAGATAACAGTCAGCTGAAGTAGCCTGCAGTACTGCACCCTAACCACTGCGCCACCTCGGCAAGGGAATTTTGTTTTTAGATCACATCCAGTTTTTACCTCTGGTTACACATTGATGCTATTTTTATTTTGTTGCTAGTGTTTTAATAACTTCACTAGTTTTTAAAATTTGTTTCTTGATAGATAGGCGGCTATTATCGTGACCCGTCAAAACCGCGGTCCACAAAAGCGCGATCGACAAAAGCGCACATTTGACGTCATCACAGCGCGACGAAAAAAATTAAAAATAGCATCAAT